TGTCTTAAAAAGTTTTATTTTGCCTTCAGTGGGTAGAGAACTCTAGGTCGACAGGCATTTTTCCAAACCCTTTGAGCACCTGAAAGCTCTTGCTTCACTGTCTTATCCATAGCAAAGGTTCAGATGAAAAACTTGCTATCATCCTTCCTTACCTTTGCTCTTTTGTAAATAATTTGTCTTTTGTCTCTGTTGCTTTTAAGATTTTTCTCTATCACTGGTTTTAATCAATTTGATTCTGATGTGCTTCTGTGTAGTTTCACACTTGGGATTTACTGAGTTTCTTGGATCTGTGGTTTAAAAGTTTTTAACAATGTTTAAAAAAAAAATTCAGCCATTATTTCCTCATACATCACTTGAGTCACACCCTCTCCTTCAGTGATTCCAATTACATGTAAATAAGCATGCTTGAAGACAGACCACAGCTCACTCACTAATGCTTGTCCTTTTTTCCAGACTTTTCCTGTTTCTTCACTTTAGATAGTTTTTACTGCTATGTCTTCAAGTTCACTATTCTCTCCTTCATCTACTCTGAAATTAACACCAAGTGTATTTTTTGCACCTTATTGTTGTTTTCATCTCTGGAAAATTCATTTGTGTCTCTTTTTAAAAATGTGTATCTTCCATGTCTTTATTAAACTGTTCCATCTCTCCTCTTGTTCAGAGATACAGAATAATTATAAATTGTTATTTAGTTGTTTATTATTACCACTGGTAGGTCAAATCCAACCCACTATGTCTGCTTTAGAAATAGATCTGTAATTCATTACACAGAAACACTAATTTGTTGACACATTATGGCTGCTTTTGTGCTCCAGCAGAGTTGAGTTATACCAGAAGTTGTATATGACACAAAACCAAAATATTTACCATCTGACCATTTTCCTAACTCTTAATCTTAGCTTCTTCAACATATTGATCACAAGCATATAATAACTGTTTTAATGTCATCTATGTCATTGCTGGGTTGGTTTTGACTGGTTTTTCTTCTCATTTTGGATATTTTCCTGCTTCTTTGTATGATTGATGTATATATATTTTTTGTTTATGTTTGTTAGTGCTGCATGGTTTTTTTCATTCTTATATTCTTGAGCTCTGTTCTGGTACATAGTTACTTGAAAAGAGTTTGATCATTTCAGTCTTATTTTAAGTTTGCCACTTGTCTGGGCCTAATTTTACACCAAAGCCAAACTCTTCTGAGTTTAGCTGATGTTCTGTGAATTATGAGATTATTTTTCCTCTGTTCATTGAAAAGAGATACAATTCATAGCCCTAATTGAGTTTTAGGGATTGTTTCCTTTAATTCTTCTGGATGGTTTTCCCCACCGGTGGGTGATTGCTCACATACGTGTGCTGATCAATACTTGGCTGACAACTAAAGGAGAAAGAACCCTTTGCCAATCTCTGGAACTCTCTGTACTGTTCTTTCCTCTTCAAGTCTCTGCGCTGTGAACGCTAGCCATCTCAGCCTCCATGAATTCCAGCTTCACATGGACTCCCCCTCCCTACAACATGGCCTGGAACTCTCTCCAGGCTTGAAGCTGGGGCAATCATAGGGCTCACCTCATTTGTCTCCTGTTTCTTGGGAATCAATGTCCTTCCTTGCCTGTTGGTCAATATCTTGAAAACCGTTGTTTCATATATTTTGTCCATGTTTTTAGTTGTTTCAGGCTAGAGAGTAATTCCAGTTCCTGTTACACCATCTTGGCCAGAAGTAGTAGTCCTAAAAACTACTAAAATTTTCCAAAGAGGGAAAACTGCTTAACGGGTAAATGATGGAAAATCATTATCAAGTAGATGGGACCTAACTAGATTTCTGTATGTATTTAGGAAAAGGAAAGGAAAATTTCTTTATGAAGTATATTATCATATTGTTATTTTTACAGATATATCCATTAAAGAAACTTATTCATAAAAATATATTTTATTGTTAGAAATAACTCCAACTAATCACTGCTGGTAATAAAATAAAAATCTTTATCTATTAAATTTCAAAATGCCTAAATATGTGAACACAGTAATTCTGCTTAGAAGAACTTATTCAACAGATATATAAAAACAAATAATGGAAAATTTGTGAGACAAATTATATTTTCACAGTATACTTTACCTAGAATACTTCAGGAAGAGCAGGAAGAAAAGATTAACATTAAACAGATACATGAGGTGGGATGGAAAGGGAGAGAAAGGGAAATTGCATGGTAATGGAGGGAGACCCTCATTGTTATACAAAATTACATATAAGAGGTTGTGAGGGGAATGGGAAAATAAACAAGGAGAGAAATGAATTACAGTGGATGGGGTAGTGAGAGAAGATGGGAGGGGAGGGAGGGGGGATAGTAGAGGATAGTAAAGGTAGCAGAATACAACAGTTACTAATAGGGCATTATGTAAAAATGTGGATGTGTAACCGATGTGATTCTGCAATATGTATTTGGGGTAAAATTGGGAGTTCATAACCAACTTGAATCTATTGTATGAAATATGATATGTCAATAGCTTTATAATGTTTTGAACAACCAATAAAAAAAATAAATTAAAAAAAATTTAAAAAAAATGTTTTTAAATTTTATAATAACTTAAGAATTACAGAAAAGTTATAAAACTAGTACTAAGAATTCCTAGTCACCCTTCACCTAGACTTCTCAAATTTTAATATTTTACCATGTTTGCATATTGCTTTTTAAACCTTTAGGAACGTCTATAGACATATCATTTTACCCAATATACGAAAGTGTTTATTTTTTTAAAAAGGACATTCTTATAATTACAATGCAATTATCACTTACACAATACTAATATCTATTCTACAGATTTTACTCAAATTTGTCACTTATTCAATAAACCTGTACTTGTGGGGGTGGGGTGTTATCAAGATAAACTGCTTGATAAACTACTGCTCTTTGCCCTATCAGGACAGCCACTGGGTTTTGCACATAAAAATGTGTTCGAACACAGAAATTCCATTCCTAAGAACAGAGTTGACAATTCACAACAGACTCAATCTGGCCCACAAAGGCAACATGTTTATTATCTGATCTATTACAGAAACCATTTGCCTACTCCAGCTTTATAGGACAGGAAAACTTCTTTCCTAGCTCAGGATTTACTTAAATGGGGTTATGTCTCTATGGTTTCCTTTAATCCAGAGTAGTTCTTCAATCTGTGGTTTTATTTATTGATTGATTTAGCTAGCTAGCTAGGGGGGAATTAAACCCAGTGAGGCTTAAACACTGAGCCATATCCACCCTTTTTATATTTTTATTTTGAGTCAGGGACTTGCAGTGTTGCTTAACCTGGCTTTGAACTTTCGAACATCCTGTCTCAGCCTCCCAAGCTGCTGGGATTACAGGCATGCACCACTATGCCCTGGCCAATCTGTGGTTTTGACCTTGAGATTTTGAAGAATGAATATAATTTATTATAGAGAATGTCCCTCCTTTTGCATCTCTCTGATGCTTCCTTTCACCTAAAGTGATACGACGTCCTCCTTGGGATGCACATTATATCTATTTGTCCATTACTGGTGATGCTAATTTAGATCACTTACGTAAGGTGGTATCTGCTAATTTTCTGCACTGCCATTTTACTGTCCCTTTAAACTTCAAGAGAATCCACTTTGGAATTAGACATTTTGCTTTTCTTTAAATTTTAATCCAGTAGTTTAAGCATCCACTTGATGATATATATAATAATCACTATTGTGTCTATAAAGTAGTGATTTCCTTAATTTAATATTCCTTCTACATTTATTAGATGGTATTCTTTTATAAGGAAAAGCTATCCCCTGTTCCCTATTTATTCATTTATATAAATAATTTTAAAATATTTACATAAATAAATAATTCTAGAATTTTAGGGACTTTAGAATATATGAATAGAATTCAAGGTTTGAGGTTACCAAAACTAAAAATCTGAAACCCATAATGTTTGAAAATCTGAAACTTTTTGAGCTTTATGGTGACACTCAAAAAAGTTTGGATTTTCAGATTAGAAATGCTCAAGCTGCACAGACTACTAAACTATCACTTGATTCTACAGCTTTTAATCCATTACATTATTATTTATTTGATGATGAAAATGTTCTAGATTTGGACAACAAAAAGAGCTCCTTTAAATCGTCTCCTGTATTCTTCTGGCAGGTCCTATTCTTTCAAGTGCAACAGTTTTTTAAATAGTAGCATTAATTTGGAAATAACCTAAATGGCCACCAATATGGAATATTAAATAAAGAAAGGTATGAAGACAATGGAAAACCAGGAAGCCATTAAGGAGAACTACCCAAGTAGAAGATGTATTGTGGTTACAAAGTAGGGAACAACGGTAGGATACGTTTCCAGTTCAGTGGGAAAAGAAAAAGAAAAAAGACAGACATATCTATCTCTTTATATACAATTTTCTTGAAAGATTAAAAAAAGAAATTAGCAATAATGAACACTAGGACTATGACTAGGGTTGAGTTTCTTTATTTTATAACCTCTGACCTAAAATTTTTTAGTTGTTTTTAAAATAATATTTTTAAATTTAACATCTATAATAAGATGTATAGTATAAAATCAATTTATGTAATTAGAACATAGTACCAGTTTATTCTCACTAAAAACAGGCAAAAACTCATATTTTCTTTAAAATGGTGAAAAAATGTTTTCCTTAAAATTCTTTAAATCATTAAATCTGTAATCAGCAAACTGTGACTGGTTAAACACACTGCTGGATACAAGAAGTTTTGTTTATATTATTGCCCTTGTTACATTCACCATACAATACTGAAGATTAATTCTCAAAATGGTTTCATCTTTCCTCTTTGAACTATATCCTATTATTTCTGTTTTGTTTGTTTCTTTTTGGGGGAAGCAGAGGAGAAAGTTGGGGGGATGGGAATGTATTTATGCTCTAGATACCAATATTTGAATGATTTCTAAGAGCACCTAATTATAGTTTCAAAAATGACGGGATCTCCATGCATATAAAATGTTTGAGTAGACGATTAATATAATACTTACCTAGTGAGTCGTTTAGGTGGGGGCCTCTCACCAAATTTCCTAGAAAATAAAGTAAAAAAAAAAAAAAAATTAAACACACTGCATGAGATACTCCATAGTAAGTTATTTTAGGTATCATGAAATTTCCTTTATGACTTCAACCTCACTGAATAACAGTGGAAAGAGAAATCATCCAGCAATCAACTGCACCAGGAAATAACAAAATACTCACTTTAAAACCGTTCTTAAAACAAAACCAGGATACCCCAAGTAGGCCTTATACACCTACTCAAGCAAGGAGAACACTGATCAGATGAGGATAACAGGTTCTGTAATTTTAGAGACATCTCAAAAAAAATTAAAAAATTTTAAAAATAACTAACCAAAGATCCTCCAGTCTCTCATAATTGGCAGCACTAAGAAAAGTACTCTCAGCTCAAGAGGGGATACAGCATTCACAAGTGTTTGCCATGTTTCAGGCTCTACATACTTTTACACATTACCATATTTTATCATCATAAAACAATTCTGTAAGGTATATATTGGCCTCATCTTAAAGATGGGAAAACAATTTGTCCAAAGTCACAAAGTAAATTAAGTGGTAGGCCAACTTAAGAATGAAACCCAGATTTTGACAACTGTTTTACAGTCTAATTAATTAGGCCCTGTAAGAGAAATGTGCTAAATGGGTTAGCATATAGGCATTCACTTAATTGGGAGCAGGCAAGGGGAAAATCATAAGCAAAAGAAAAACCACAGAATTCAGGATGGAATGATAACACAACACTAGAGTGAGGCTCTGGAGTAGGACTGTTTGAGTTCAAATTCATAATTTGGCATTTACTTGCTATGTAACTGAAATTAGTTGTGATTCTACAAAACTTAAGTTTTCCTATCAATAAAAAGGACATAGTAGTGTTGAGAGAATTAAAGGTGGAAATTGATGTTCTAATTAATATATAGAAAATATACAGAACAGTTCCTGAAAAACAGTATGTGCTCAAAAAACAATTTTTAAGGTTATAAATGGTTAAGCCAAAAGAACTAAATAAAGCAATTACAAAACCAATAGAGACAAGTACAAGAAGAGTAAACTAGTTCCTAGGTGATAATCTCTTATTTCTTCTGAAACAGGAAAATGTGATTCTCTTTTGAAAGACAGTGATGAAACTGCATTTGAAGAGAAAGGCCAATAGATGTTTTTATCTATAAGCAAGACTGCTGTTATAAGCAGTTACTTGTTCAGAAGCACAGTTACAGGCTGTGAAGGCTTATTGACTTATAATATCTATGCTATATTTATGAAGCTCTACAAGACTATTAACTTTGATGATAAGTCTTAGGATTCTATTTAGTTCATTTCCTGAAGTTAAATAAATGTCATAGTGACACTGACACTGTTTATGAATTCAATATCTATAAGTGATAGGTATCTATACCTAATATTTTCATATTTTAATTAATTCTAAAACATCAAAAAGTGGCTTTAACTGAAATAGCACAAAATGAGCAAATATACATTCTTATGAGCAGAATTCTCATTAGTTTTCTTTGATTTTTTATATTACAAAATACTCAATTTTTAAAATCAAGAAACAAAACACAATGTTTTAATGGTAACACCAGCAAGGCAAGCTAAAAAGACCATTCAAAACACTCAACTATTGGTTGATCCATGAATCACAGCTATGGAGTTAAAAGCAAAAATCAGCACTGAATCTTTTTCTACTGGAAAGGTTTTTTGAAAATCTGCAAACTGATTAATTGTACCACTACAGCATATAGGTACAATAAAACTGTCTTAGCATTAGCAGATACAGAATATATTATAAAACCCACAAAGATTATTATACATGTAGAACCATATTTCTTAGAGAGAAGCACAGTGAAGTTTGGCTGGAATCTACCTAAGGGTTCAAGCGGTAAAAATTTTAGACAGATAATGAACAAAATAAAAATCTCAATATTGCCATCATCTTTTCTACTAGCTCTAATATTCTAGCTAGAACTACTAAGGACTACTAAGAGTCACTACACTCAAAACTCAAATATTAAATTTTATTTCTACATGCTTTAAAATTCTCGAAAAGTTACATTCACAAGTAAATGATGATTAAAATAGCCAAGACCCTTTTTTAAAAATACTAATTAAATCAAGCTAACAATTACATAGCATGCTTGCACAACATCACTCCTGCATCAACAGAAAATCGGAGCAACAGAGGTACTGCTGAGACTGGACAACAACACACAAAACCATGCATGAATCATCTTCTACCTAGGTGCCATTCTAAGGCCAGGAATCATAAAAATTGAAATCAAATTGCTTCTTATGTACATAATAAAGTTATCTCCAATAATTTTGTGTGCAATCCTGAACCTCTGTTTAACACACGTGACATCACATTCCTGTTTATCTCATTTAACTAATGGTTACTGTATTTAATGGAGTGTGGAAAGAATTAGAAAATGGGATGTCTCAAGAAGATTTCACAAAGCATGTACTAGATTCACAATGTACAACTCTGATGGGCATGATCCAACTAAATTTTGATCATTTAATAAATCCTCTTTGGCATATATATGGAAAAAATGTCAAGTTAAACTAAGATATACAGTATCTTGTACTGACCAAGACCCATCTTCATTACTAATCTGATATATGACTAACATAAAACTCTGAGAATTATTTACTGGAAAAAAGAAGGTCTTCCCTTTTAATCACTGGTGAGTCCATAAAATTCATGATGTAATATATAGAGTATGCAACCAAAATAATCACTTCTCAGCAGAAAAATAGTAATCAACTATCAATTACTGAGACTGATTATAACCTAAAGATTAGGAGATGGGCAAGTACAGTTTGCAATCTACCTTGAAAAACATCTGTGTACCTACATAATCTAAATTAACAAGTGACTAGAAATAAGCTGGGCCAAGTTTACACCATGTAAACCATCATTTTATAATAGGTATAGGCTATGTTTCACAATACAAAGGAAAAAAATGTAAGCCTATAAGTGTTCAGGGAACCTTCTTAACTTCATAAAATAATGAGTTAAACTGCTATTCAATTTCTCTTTTGATGATTATAGATTATCAACACTGCATTTGCATGAGGTTTCTCAAATTTTCTACATTCTGTATAAATGTACTTTTAATTAAATGTAATAATCCCGATAAATATGTAAAGTGAAAAGGTTCTGATTCTAGGCCTTTCTTTTTAAAGTAAAAAGTGAAAATCAGCTAGAGTACAGTTGATTTGCACCATGCCCCTCCCTTCTTGTTCTATGTTCACATATTTCTTCCTCAGACTGGAGTGAAAGTGAATGAAACATGTGCTTGCTTTACCCAGTATGCTCATATAATAATTTGGCTCAATAAAATTTATATCTTCAGTGTCTATATGTCATCAGTATAATTTTAAATTAGCAAATTCATTTTACTTTTAATGTACTTGCTTTCCCTTCTTAGACAATAATGATCTTATATTCCCCCAAATGAGAAGAGCTAGGGAAAATGCTAATCACAGTAGCTAAATCTAATTTTATACATCAAGAAGTGTGAGATTGGGCTGGGGATGTGGCTCAAGCAGTAACATGCTTGCCTGGCATGCGTGGGGCGTTGGGTTCGATCCTCAGCACCACATAAAAATAAAGATGTTGTGTCCACCAAAAACTAAAAAATAAATATTAAAAAAATTCTCTCTCTCTTAAAAAAAAGTGTGTGATAGATTGTTTTAATTTGTAATTTCATTAAACACAACACTTCCTACCTGATGGGTTCCCATATATCCTCTCTTAGAATTTTCAAAATATGTGGAAAACTTACACACACATTAAACTTATATACTCGTACTTCCTTCTGTTCATGGAGGAAGTACAGCAGTGTTTCCTCCCACACAAGATACACTTCCTTCTATATTCAGTCTGTGAAGTAAGTATATGACCACAAATGTGCTGAGGACAAATATGATAAAAAATTATTAAACCTTTTCTGGCTAAAGGATATTTCACATGAGAAAAACAAGTCAAAAATCAAGAAAGGAGGGGAAACAAACAAGAAAAAAATGTTTTAAGATACAGAACAATTTGGTAATTACACCACTATTAAGATAAAGCAAAAACCCTCATGTATGTAGAATATTGTCTAGTAATAGTAGTAGAACTTTGGTTTTGAAAATAAACAGATGGCTTGAAAAATAAGCTCAAATCATTAGGGAAACTTCTGGATTGTAGAACTTAAAGTAATTCTTTCTAGTTTCCAAATTTTCTACTTAATGCAGAAATGAGATTAAAATAAATAAGGAAAGAAACAATGTACAAAAGAAAGCATTAACTACCTAAATTCATAATTAAACCGAACTTTACACTAAACCTGTAATAAACAGTTTTTAATTTTATACAATCAAAAGTATTGGGATTTTCTGAACCATGATTTAAGAGAGGGAAATGAAGAAGTACTAAATTAGGGAAAAATCAGGAAACCCAAAATTCACACCTTCAAGGCAGTTACCACCAGTAGGAGGAATAGAAACAAAAGCAAACAAAAACAAGAACAAAGCATATAGTGCTGGAAAACTACTTAGTAACTAACTCTTAAAAAATAAATTAAAAATGTATATACACACATTAGAAAAGGGTACATGTAATGCTCTTTTCAAATCTGTTCTTCAGCAAGTATTTATTGAATATGTAGCAAGGGCCAAGTACAGGTATTTGGTATGTGCATGTATGTGTGTGTGCATGCACTCACACATGGATCAGTGAACAAGAGACACATGCTCCTTTGAAACTTATGTGCAATTGGGACAAATGGACAATTATTTACTACGAAAGATTTACTCATTTTCCATTCATGGATAAATACAGAATAAAACAGCTTATATTAAGTCACACAATCTCTAAACAAGACACTATATCTGTGGCTGGGGGTGCAGCTTAATGGTAAAATATTTGCCCAGCATGTATATGTGTAAGGCCCTGAAATTGATCCCCAGCACTGCAAAAATAAATAAACTAGGTCAGCTTTTTTCACACTTCAATTTCTAGTTGTGAACC